CAGAATGAGAACATGGCTCCTTCATGCCTTGTTACCACTGTGCAGGCTGGTGGTGGTGGTGTAATGGTGTGGGGGATGTTTTCTTGGCACACTTTAGATCCCTTAGTGCCAATTGGGCATCGTTTAAATGCCACGGCCTACCTGAGCATTGTTTCTGACCATGTCCATCCCTTTATGGCCACCATGTCCCGATCCTCTGATGGCTACTTCCAGCAGGATAATGCACCATGTCACAAAGCTGGAATCATTTCAAATTGGTTTCTTGAACATGACAATGAGTTGACTGTACTAAAATGGCCCCCACAGTCACCAGATCTCAACCCAATAGAGCATCTTTGGGATGTGGTGGAATGGGAGCTTGGTGCCCTGGATGTGCATCCCACAAATCTCCATCAACTGCAAAATGCTATCCTATCAATATGGGCCAACATTTCTAAAGAATGCTTTCAGCACCTTGTTGAATCAATGCCACATAGAATTAAGGCAGTTCTGAAGGCGAAAGGGGTCAAACACAGTATTAGTATGGTGTTCCTAATAATCCTTTAGGTGAGTGTATATGTATATAAATGAACCAAATTAATAACTTTATTACAACAAAAATGAAACATCACTGAACTTACACAAGCTGGACTGTGACGCTATTTTCTTCTGGAAACAAACTTTGTTGCATTATTTTCCTGTTACCTCTGTAAATTTGCTTTGAAACAATCTGTATTGTAAGAAGCACTTCTGTAAAAAGTGACTAGCTACACTGTTTAAAAAAAAAAAAAAATAATTGATTATGTAAAAGTATCTGTTTATAATAAACTAAAAAGCATATAAATTGTCTCTGACTAAAGTGAGCAGAAAAATCTACACACCAATCTTACTCTTACCTGACACAGATCTTTGCAAATTCCGTGATTTGGCTCTATTTATTCATTTTATAATTTTATTTTCCATCAGAAACCATCGATATTGAAATGAAATGCGAGCATGCTTTTGGTGCGTAAGATTGGTGCGCAAACGGTAGCTCAGGTCAAAAACACTTAAAGAGAAGCGTTAGGACAACTGTTTGCCAAAAACCAGTTGGTAATCTGCTCTGGATTTTTTTATAGAGGTTGTATGAGAAAAACTCAGACATGGCAGATTCGGATTACTACTTATTTGAAATTGACCTACATGACATCCTATGGACATGAAATTCATCGAAATGTAAATGATCTCTTGGCTGTTGTGGTTTAAAATACTTCCTGCAGTGCACAGTAGTCCTGAAGCCACTGGGGCTTGGGCCCGTCATCGCTGCCTGCAGCTATATTCCTACTTGAGCCTGGTATGGCATGGTATATCCAAGCAATAAAAAAAGATAATTGTGACTATTTATCTCACAATTCTGAGTTTACATTTCGCAATACTGACTTTTTCTCCGAATTGCAAGATATAAAGTCGCAATTGTGTGTTATAAAGTCAGAATTGCAGAAAAAAGTATGAATTGTGTAATATAAACTTGCAATTGATATATATATATATATATATATTAAGAGAATTAAAATTACCAAGTTATTATGATTAGAGGACGTACTGACGATGTTGTGGGCATGTGGGCAAATCTAAATGTGGGCTACCTAAACTAAACCCGCATGGGCCCAAAGGTGAAAAACCTTCTCATGGGCCCGAATGAGATGGCCCACAGTGGGCTTAATGTGGTCAGCCCGCTAGTGTGGGCTGCTTACTGATAGCCCGCAGTGAGCCCAAAGCTGTGGGCCTCGCCTGGGCAACCCGCACTGGGCCTGTTTAGGTTTGGCGTGGGCTGGCCCTAGCCCACTGTGCCCACAAAAAGCCAGCGTGGGCCCCGCAGTGGCATGTTTGCAGGGATAATGTTGCAATTGCGTGTTTTAGTCAGAATTGCAAGTTGCAAGAGTTTTTACGAGAAAAGTAGTAGGAGATAGTGTGATAATTTATCATGTAGTATATTATATTATATTATATTATATTTATTTTTTTCAGGAACTGAACTGTTAAATTCTGGGTCATTTGCTCTTTAGCAGCACAGATGAGGCCATGTCACCGGCCGCATGCTGCTTATTTATTAACCTTTATTTAACTAGGAAAGTCACATTGAGGTTAAAACCTCTTTTACAAGTAAGACCTAGTCAAGACAGGGTCGGAAGCAGGATTAAACAAATAACAAACAACAATAAGAAACCAATCACAACATCATCATTAGATACAACAGAAAACACAGCAAAACAAGTCTCCACAACAATAGCCTATGTTTCAACGCCGAGACACAGCACAGCAACACAAACATTTAGGTTTTACATAATACATAATACTTAATTTTAAATACTTAAATACTTAATCTTTACATAATACTTCCTGAACTTAAGCCAGCTCCTTGTTTCCTTTCTGCCATTATTGGCAGAGAATGTCTAATATTGAATTACTTCCGGGTTCTGGACTGGCTGCAGTAACGCGTCTCTGTCCATGCGGGGGCGCTCGCGGTCGAGTGCAGAATGAATGGGAGTCAATTTATTTGAGGCACAATAATAGCCTGGATGCCAGCCCGAACTCCGCCCACATTTTTTGGTCGGGAAGTTCGGTCTGGACTCGATCCATTGAGGAGAAATTATGATCAGGCAAAAAATGAACGGGCCAATCAAATTGCCAGGGCGGGCTTTATACGATGATGGACAGATGATCTTCAGGGACGTAATCATCACGGTATCAAAGAGCGCTTGTCAAAGATGACTGCAGCTGGAGAATTGAAATGTATAGATTCCGCTGTCGCGTCTTTTGTAAAATAAATCGACAGCGCATTCATTTTAATAGACAAACAGAGAACTGCAATCAAGGCATTTGTCAATCGGAAAGATATTTTTGGCGTCCTTCCGAATCCTACATGATTCGGGAAAAGTGTAACTTATCAGCTGGCTCTGACGGTCGTTAAGAAGATGGGACGTAATGAAAAGCTTGTGGTCGATGTGGTTTCTCCTTTGGTGGCACTCATTGAGAAGTAAGTAAAAGAAGCAACACTCGTTATTTAACTTCTAAAATAAATAAAGTTAGGCTACGTTCTGTCTTTGAAAACTGCGCTATGCAAAGTAGTTGACTTACTGCGTTGCTCTGATTGGTTGTAGGTCTACCGACTATCCAATTGAGTGCAGAGGTTGTTTTTTTTTTCCTGGTTCGGTTATGACACGCCTCATAATCAAAGCCCAACTGAGGGGTTTCAGACTCATATTCTCTCTTGAATATGAGTATGGTGATGTCAGGCTAAGTCAATGGGGTTTCACCCCCAGAAATCCACTTTTCTCAGGATGTAATTTTTTGTCAAGTAATTTGAAAGTTGCATTCAAAAGGAAGGGCTAAGAAAATACACTCAGCTGAAAATTGCATTTTTAAGTTCACTTATCTGTTCTAAAAATCCGTTCAAAAATGTGATGACGTCACACAATAGCAGAATGCTAGCGTGTTCCGACCAACAACGGCCTAACCTGTAAGAAATCGAAAGGACATAAGTACTCGTTCATTCGACTTTTGGTCTATAATCTATATTGAACTTGCGGAATCAACAATAAAATCCATGTTGATTTAACGACAAGCAGGTGAAAGAGACACATGTAGCCGTTTAGCCCCATAGACTCCCATTCATTCTGCTCTCGCCCGCGATCACCTCCAGTGGAATTCTAATGGAACTGCAACCAAGGTGATGCACAATGGGGCTAATAGGAAGTGCCAAGGCTCTCCGTTAGATGGGCTCTGTCATTGGACAAATTGATTAATTCAGGTGTGCGTGCCTGACCTCAGTAGTCACGGCAACAATAATCAGACACACCTGAATGAATCAAGTTTGGCCAATAATGGCAGACAGGAAACAAGGAGCTGGAAGTAGTGCAACTGTGCATAAAGCCAATTGGCAAAGCAGCTGCAATGGGCTCTATGCACGGCGGTATTTCCGGTGAAGGATTAAGGATGCTCGATAACTTCCGCTGATCGTAGAGTCCAATGCAATACCGAGAATTTATATTGAATTTTATACTCCATGGTTATAATAAAGAAACGTCAGTCACAAAAAACAGATAAAACAGACACCCCTCGTTGTGTTTATGTGCAAAATTATATTAAATAAACATAACTATATATAAAATTACATCTAAACGTATGTACGTTTCGTTTCAAAGACGGGAGGACAGTAAATTTTGAAGACTCTGCCATAATCCCGTTTTCCTCGGTTCTCCTCCGCTTAAATCTCCACAACCGGAAATGGATGAGCATCCTTGCGTCAAATGCGGAACTTATGCGTGCATATAGCCCATTAGCAGTGACCACCTCCTTCATTCTATGTTATTCTATGCTTTTTGTGGGACAGTGCAGCTTAAGCATTTATTCGTAATTCTAGGCTATATCTCTAAATCTCTAGATACAGATCTTGTGTCTCACAGGTGGAGATCGGCATTAAACGAGCAAGTTCCAGCGCGTGACCTCAGAGTCCGTCGCTAGGGAAACAAGGACGCTGCAATCATGCACAAATGAACATTTCTGCTATTTTTTGTTTTGTTTACATTTTCTGTTAGTATTGTCTCTTTACACTGTAAAGTCATTATTTATCCCATTATGTGTAGGTACAAATTACCTAGAGATTTTGCGAGACAAAATCACGTTACTTTTAAAAATGGGACGAGGGTGGCAAGCTTAGGCTTTTTAGCTTTATGAAAACAGATAAAATTATTAACATGAATTCTAATGAAGTAAGTACGATCATACCGTGACGTCACACAACCCTGTTGGAAATCACGTGAAAGAAAAGGCGCAAAGTTGATACCACTTTTCAACAAACAGGGGCCTTTATCTAAATACATATTGACAAAATATATGTTATAACGTAGTTTTTTACTTTATATATTAGCAGTTTCGCAATAAATTGTGCTTAAATATATTTGCTGCAGTATTTCTTATGTTATATGTGCCAAATAAATGGATTAATCCACACGTCCCCCGCTAAGTAGAAGGTACTATCCGGTCTCGGGTCAAAGTTCATAAGAGCTGCAGTGCGCGTTTCTCTCGTGCCGGGTTTTTAATTTCTTATTTTTGGAATAGGTGGTCAGTTCATTTTATTTCCTCCAGAAAGATGGCCTCAGGTAACATTTTTTTTTTGAATATATAAATAGTCTAAAGTAGCTCGTACAATACAGTAATTGTTCTTTATTCGTTGCTGTTCTATGTTGTGAGACATAAAGGATAATTAGCGCCTCACGCTTAGCATTAGCGGCTAAATGGCCTACGCGGGATTTGCGATTGTTTAAACGTAAAACAGCATTGGCGACAAACTATACGACTCTTTGAATAAACAGTTACATTTTCAATTATACACAACAAATCGGCTGATGGGTAAATGTGAGACTTTAGATGGCCGTTTAGCCTTCATGCTCATGGTGCGGCGTGGTGTGATTGTTAGCCTAGCATTTTACCGATGATTACAGACGCGGCCATTTAAGCCTTCAGTTGACGTTTGAATGAAACTCATTTAAAGCCTTTTCGATGCAGTGCTGTTTACACTTCATATTTTCTGCCTAATTGTGTATTTCTGTTCGTAGATTCAGGCTACGGTCAGCCTGGCGCTCAACAAAGGTAAGCGATATTTAACGTTACCACAAACACACACCGGGCACAATAACTTTATTATTTCATATACTTATAAGTATGCTGGAACTTATTACTAATAATTCACGGTAGTCTAAATATGTAAATGTGACGTAAATGGTCAGATCTTAGTGTTTCGTAAGATTAATTCACTAGTGTAGAGTATATCTGGGACAATCACACTCTCCCAATTTGTTGTTCGTTTCAGTATGGGTAATTTTTGTTTCTACTTTTTTTGTACAGTTACGGATCTTATGGTGGATCCCAAGGCTTTCAAAGTGGACAGGTAATGCTTGATCAAATGATGTAGTTGATCATAAAATCTAGGTAATCTGCATCTTCAAAGTGTTGTAGCTTTTACTGATTTTATTTTTTGTATTTTTCCAGCAGGCGTATGGTCAGGGGAACGGAAGTGGCTCTTACGGTGGACAGAACTTCAGTGGTTACGGACAGGCTGGTGGTGTGTGACCTATACAGGGATTTGAATGAGCCGCTCCGTTAAAGATGGCTGGTGTGTAACGGTCTTGTTTCCCCACAGGAGAGAGTTACGGCCAGTCGTCTCAGGGATACTCCTCTGCCGGCTACAGTCAGCCTCAGCCGGGCATGGACAGCTACGGTCAACAGGCTTCATCTGAAGCCTCTACGGGGTGAGAGATCTGGCTGCTCCATTACTCACACACCTCATATCTCTCAAGCCTTAAGTTGGCTTTGCTCATGACATGCAAGTATGCTTATGAATTTCAGAAAATACCTTATCACGGTCCTCGTTTGCCAAGTGTGATTCTGTAGGGGTTTTTCTGCTTCTGTTTGGCACTTTAGAAACCATGTTCTAGGAGGCACTATAGAAATAGTGGCTTAAATTGCATATATAAAGGTTTACACTTGGTACAATTTTGATCCTCCCCTAAAGCCAAGTTAGTGCTACATAAAGTGATTTATTTTATTAATTTAAATGAGTCAAATGGGCTTCTTAAAACAACTAACCTTTAACGTTTTAGATTTAGTAGCCTTTTTTCACTGTTAAGGGTCCTCATGCACTGGGAAATCCCATGTTTTTACCTGCACCACCGTGTAAACTCTTTATCTCACTGCAGGTATGGTGACAAGTCGTATGGGCAGCCTCGGTCTTTCGGCCAGTCGGCGGGTGGCGGCGGAGGGGCGTACGGACAGTCCAGCGCCTCCTACGGGAGCTCTCAAGGTGGTTATGTGCGCCGTAATGATGGTAATTGTTTTGTGATGTACAATGTGTCTTGGACTTCGATCCAGTCTGGCCTACAAATGAGGAAAAAACATTGTTATTATATATTGCGTCAGTGAGTTGTGCAGCATAACTTTTTTTTATGCTGGTCCCACAGATAAAGGCTTGGACTAAGCCAAGCCTTGAAAGTTAGCATCCAGTTTAAAAAATGAAAAATTGTGCCTTTTAGTCTAATTTTGTGAGCAGTGTCTTGGGGCGTTTTTAGACCTGTAGATCGTTTGCTTTGATCTGAAATGGGGACTAAATTTGCTACAAAAATTATTATTATTTTATTTATTTTTTGTCTTTCTTCTCTGGTTTGAAACCGAGCGTTCCAAAATGTGTTCACGTTAGTCACATGTGAGTAAAACAGTCATTTTAGTGGTCAGATTCTGCTTATCCATTAAGATGAATATCTGTAGATGTCGAGATTCACAAGCACTTAAACGAATGTTGCCATCCTTCCCGCTCGTTCTGATCAATTATATACATTTAAAATCGTGTTTTATATTAGAGTGGGAGTCAAGGCAATGCGTGAGAAGAGCAGTTCCAATGTTTTAAGAGGTTATGTGCTCACGGACGAGTCAGACGCTGCAGTTTTTATGAATTGATACCGCTTGCCTCGTTGGTTTGGATTCCTTCCTCATCCTTAACCGATCTGTTTCAGTCGGCCGAGATCATTAAGACTATCTCGGAGCAGTTGTTTAGGTGTGTATTCGAGCAATTGCCATCTTCATGTATGCCTAACCACACTGAGGGAGAAAACGGTCAGGTGCCGAATCAAAGCCAGGTCTGACGGCGCCCTTAAACACCCTCCCTCCCTCCACCCAGGTGAGGCGCGCCGGTATGGCGATGACGGAGGCTCAGACAGGACTGAGGGCTACCGGGGCAGAGGTCGTGGGGGGTTCGACCGGGGTGGCTATGACCGCGGAGGCTTCGACAGAGGTGGCCGAGGAGGCCCACCCTCCGGTATGGGGTAAGTGTGCCCACCCCAGAAGGTATTACTGCACTCGGAGGAAAAACATGCTATTAGACCTGAAAGCTGTTGATTAAGATTGTAATTTTAACTTATTTTTGTAAATGTACCCATGGATGACTAATTTGGTGAGAATTAAGTTGTTCTACAAAAGGTGCTTCTGCTGTACTTTATTATTTGAAGTGGTTGTACTCCTAATGGATGACACCATCTTTTTGTTTCTCTGAAGTGACACTCCACCCTATATAATGTCAACTAGTTGTTGGATGCTTTACTATAAATAGCTTATAGGCTACAGTAGCCAGGTTTCTCCACGTGTAGTGCATAAAAAACGCATCACATTCACATACAGGACATGTTATAGCTCAAAACACACAAAATGATATGCATAACTGGCACATCTATGGATATTTGCCCTCAAGGTTTCATCTGCTCTTGAATTGGCGAGATCTTAAAAGTCTGACTTTTGTTGGACCGAGCGAGAATTTAAATCGAGCTAACTGAAGCTCAGCCCTTCCTCTTAGACTTTTTCAAGGCCAGATTAATTGGTTGGTTTCCTGTTAGTTAAATGCTAATACTGGAAGAGAAAAAGAGGCCAAAAAAAAAAAAAAAAACCTGTTGTTGCCTATTGTTATCTACTGAAGCTGATTGGATGATTGGGAACCTGGTCGGACTCCAGTTAATGTAATTCTCACTTCTCCTGGTTTTTTTTTCTTCCCTTTGGGAGGGTTTTCACATTGGAAAGTTCACAGCTACAAGGAACAGTTTTCAGTCACTCCACATGAATCGCTGTCTGTACGGTGTTTGTTTCTTTGTGTTAACTGGTCTACATTTTATACTACAGGTATCAAAGTGAGTGAAATTAAAGTTGGACCACAGCCATTGGAGCTCATAAGCACTCATAATGGAAGCCAATGTGTGCTCGTCTACACAACAGTTAGACGCTCTAATCTAGTCTTGTTTCTTGAACATATGAAAGAGGGAGCAGGGAGGTTGTCCTCCGTGCTCTGCTCTGGTTTTAGCTACATCTCCGTCTCAATTCAGAGCGCATCAAATCTTGAAGTTGATCCAAAACCATATTCTAATTTGAAAGAGGCTTGCCTTTTGGTTTCAATTTGAAATGTTTCATGTACGTTTGGCCCATCATCCTTAACCAAACTGTCAATGGGAGCCGTTTCCTCCTCAGTAGTAAACCATGGCATGAATACTGATAAAGAGGGAGCCTTGCGCTCCCAGGTTTCAACAAAGGAAAGCCATCATATCTTCAATTTTTCCTCTGCAGTGGTGGTGACCGTGGTGGCTACAAAAATTACGGTGGTAAGTGATGAGCATCAGAACTGTCTCAGTGGGGGAAAGAAATAAGAAATGCAGAAAGATTAGCTGGCAAATGAACTCTTGAGACACCTTATGTCAACCCAAAGGAACATCATTATTGCTGTCCTCTCTGGTAGTACTCTTGTGGGATAAAGTCTAACAACTACCCAGCTTTACTCTTGTAGAATGGTATCTTTGCATGAGGAAATTGAGTTAAATGTCCGTCTTCTGGACGCCACCTGCACATGGTGAAGCAGCAACATGATTTAGATCAATACTTGGATTTATTTTTGCTAGACACACAGAAAAAAATTGTCCTGGTCTACAAAGGTCTTGGAAAAATGGTGCAGCAATTTTGGACACTGGTGCATAGCTTAAACTGTCACTGTAAAGGTCAAATCTACATAGCAAAGCAGTTTGGTTTTATTTCCTTTTATTCATAGACTTTGCATTGAAATAAGGGTTCATGACATAAGTTCTCAAAGGTGTGTTTCTCTTTCGTGTCTTGTTGTTTTTCAGGACCCAGAGACTATGGGCAAAAGGATGATGGAGGTAAGCTCGCTCATGAGAGCATTTCACCCTAACTTCAGAAGTGAGCGAGAGAACGTAGTGGTTTCATTTAAGTTGGCATGAAGGTAGTGGAAGTTACCCTGGTGTGTAACTATGCTGAACTGGTCTCATAAATGTATGCTCTCCATTACAGACGGCGATCAGGATAACTCGGACAATAATACCATCTTTGTCCAAGGTCTTGGAGAAGAGGTCACCACTCAGGAAGTGGGAGACTTCTTCAAGCAGATCGGGATCATAAAGGCAAGTTCCCTCCGCTGAAGGTCATGCAGGGCCTGTGATGTCGGCTTACCTTCCCTAAAGGGTCTAATTTTTAGTGTTTAATTTCTTGACTTTTAAATGAATTTTAGTTGAAGTCATAACTTGGAGCGTAGAGGACAAGAGCCCTCGAGTTTTGAGGGATTAAATTTGAATGGTTTAATCAAGCATGTCTAATCAATTGAATTCAGAACTGTAATAGCTTCATTTTTATTATGAAATGTCTTTGATTTAATGTCAATAGTAATAAGTCTAAAGAATGAATTAAATAATTAAAAATGTAATTGCCAACGAAGTGCAGCAGAACACGATTTGTTCATTTTACACTTGCCTTACACTGTATGCATGTCAAGTTCAAGCTGATTTATTCATCCATGATGAACACTGATTTACAGTTGCTTAATCTACTCTTAACAGCTCAATAAGAAGACTGGCCTCCCCATGATCAATCTGTACACTGATAAAGCCACTGGACGACTGAAGGGTGAAGCCACAGTCTCCTTTGACGACCCCCCCTCAGCCAAAGCTGCCATTGATTGGTTTGATGGTAAAAGAAACGTCCATGCTGTCTCTTTGACTCTGATAGCCCCCAAATCCCTTCTCACAATGCTGTTTTGTTTTCCTGGAAAACAGGAAAGGAGTTTAAGGGAAGACCCATCAAGGTGTCGTTTGCGACGAGAAGGGCAGAGTTCACCCAGAGAGGTGGCGGCCGAGGAGGAGGCGGAGGTGGCGGCCGCGGTGGTGAGTGCTGGACATCTGCACCATTCATCCCTCACCAGTTTGAGCTTGTAGACCCGTTTATGCTGATTATTAGGGGTTTAACGAGACCCTCATATCACTATACTGAACTCGCGATACGATATAGCAATACTCCATCAAAATGCTATATTTGGTGTTGCATATTTGTGTGTGTAAATGATTGGCCTTGGACATGGTGTTGACCCAAAGCATGGGACAATAGAGACACCAGAGTAACAATATTCATGATTCTGAAGCTGAAAACACAAATTATTGTCGCTGACAAGATGCATTTAAAATTATGTAGGACTCTTTACTGGTTACATCAGACATTTTGGCATAATCGGGACACAAATATTCCCCCATTGCATTAGTTTTATATTATATTCAACGTTATATGCTTGTTTAATGTAGTACTGACACAAACTCTGTAAAGAAATTCCTGCACAGTAGTTTAAACTAAACGCAATATACATTGTTTTTTTTTTTTGTATTATAAAACGCCCCCACTAATATTATGTTCTTTGTGCACAGGTTTCCGAGGCAGAGGTGGCTTTGGTGGCGGTCCCTCGTTTGATGTCCGGGGAGGAGACTGGCCTTGTCCCAACAGGTCTGCTCCATGTAGTCATTTGTGTATTTGTGTTTATGTAGTCAGATGGTGTTCATTATAAACCTCCCCTTGCAGCTCTTGTGGAAACATGAACTTTGCCAGAAGATACGAATGCAACAAGTGTGGCACTCCTAAACCTGACGGTGGCGATAGTTATGGAGGTGGTAAGTTTAATACATGCACAATACACCCATATGTTTTACAGTCTGTGACGTCACCACCAGAATAACGGAAAGCGTGCAGCGAGGCGGGTTAACCGAGTTGACTCACAACAGACAGCAGAAAACGGCTAGTAGTGATGTCAGCAGTTATCCACTTGTCACTCAAGAGGCCATGCCCTCAATTATGCAGAACTTTAACGCTTAATATAGTTTAAACTAGGGCTGTGCAAAAATTAATTGCGATTAATCGCATCCAAAATAAAAGTCTGTGTTTACATGATATATTTGTGTGTGCTGTATATAATTATTTTGTATATATAAATACCTATGCATGCATTTATATATTTAAGAATTATTTGCGCTTAAATTCTGTGTGTATACATCCATATTCATATATAAAATATTTATCTAATATAGATTAACACATTTTCTTAAACATACACATGCATGTATGTGTATTTATATATACAAAATAATTCTACACACACCTATATTATGTAAACAAACTTTTATTTTGGATGCGATTAATCGCAATTAATTTTTGCACAGCCCTAGTTTAAACGGATAGTTATAAAAATGTTCATCCCCCTCAGTCGTCATGAAGGGCATAATTAGCTTTATAGACCAAAACCACTTTCTGTACCAGGCTGTAAACATGTTTTTTTTTCCTGCTTTAAAGTTCATTTTAACATGGGGCTCTATGGGATTGATGTTGTCTCTAGTGGCCAGTCGATGAACTGCAGGTTAAGCCACCGTGTCGGTTTCAAGAGTTGGGAAGGTTTTCGCTTGGTTTAAGACCAATAACATTTGACCAATGGAGGATGCGATTAGCCCCACCTCTTCTGAAATGGCTTGTGAATGGCGAGCAGTAGTGATCCACAATGTTTGTTCATGCTGCCGCCCACTCTTCCCAGATCGCGGAGGCCGGGGCGGGTACGGAGGTGACCGCGGGGACCGTGGCGGGTTCAGAGGTGGCCGAGGCGGGGGTTTCCGGGGTGGAGACCGCGGAGGCTACGGCGGAGGCGGATACAAAGCTGGCGGAAGGTACGGAGATGCCCTCAGTGCTACAGTCATTCGTGACCCAGCATGCATCATTTGTTTAACGTATGTTTTCCTCTCTCTTAAAGGGGAGACCACAGAGAAGAGAGACGCGGCCGGCCATACTGAAGACTCTGCGGGTCCCAGACCATTGTTTATTGGGGTGTGGGGGGGGGGTTAGGGGAGAGGTTTGTGTCCACATACCTTTCTGTTGCATGAGCGTCCTGCATATACTGTTTGAGCAGTTTCCCATAAATGTTGAATCTGGAGGAGGCCGAGTGAAGGGAACGAGATGAGTTTGTTCTCTGATCCGCCGCTTTTCTAAACCTTCAGTCCTGTAAGGAAATGGCACAACTGGCCACAGATCAGCTTTAAAGGATGATTTTGCTCTAGGTGAAGGGGGTGGGGCCAAATGTTATTTTTGTTACTTTTAATTTCCTGAATTGTTGAATCTGGCATTTAGTGTGTGATTTGTGAAATGCTTATTGTTTTGTAAAAATCAATCAACACAACCCTTTTACTTGTTTCGTTTTTTTTTTTTTTTTTCATTTTGCAAAAAATATTAAACACCCTTTTGATCTTAATGCTTGATCTCGTTTTTGTGTTTTATATCTCCCTGATAGCAGTGGTTAAAATGGCCAGTGAAATCAGAATGGGGTGAAATACATTGTATGGTAAACATAAATCGTTACGTATATAATCAGAGACCTGTCACTGCTTTGAATAAGAGCCAGAGACACCTAACTGCACCTTTGAGTCACTTTCATGTAAAAATGAAGCAATGCTACATTACAATACAAATGTACAATATTTTTAAGCCATAGATGGAATGCAGCTTCAGTTTAAAATAGATTTTTTTAATATATTTTCTTGATGTTCTGCTGCCAAATATCAGCAGATGTTTAAATGTGACTTTATTGGGTAATATTTCATTTTCGATTAAAGTGTTTTGCTTTAACGGATTTTCACTTTTAAGAATCCAATTTATGGCATTATAGTTTTTGTAATTTTACAGTGTCCATGTTGCATTTACTTGCATAGTAATAACAGTAAATTATGCTTTATTACATGCAACTAACCCTAGAGTAAGTGCATGACTTGACTTGTTGCTCAGTACTTAAATATATAATTATACTGCTGCAACGACACCTTTAAAATAGTGTGACGCTAAAGTCTTTAAAACCAATAAGCCTATCAAGAACCACACAATGTTGTTAGCCAGGTTTGCTTTACACCTTTAATGTAAGTGTATAGCCTAAAAAGGGGTAGATAACAAAACTTTTTGTGACTGAATGGATATATTACATGTGTCAGTAAATTCCATTGTTTGGTGAAAATGTCAGTATAGTATGCATGCATCTTTGTGTTTCTTAACCAAAATTGTACTCATTCTTATCCATGAAGACAGAAGACAGTGTTCTTGTTTATCGGTCATAAAGGTGATGACATGAAAAAAGATGTACTTCCACAGCTGATCACAGGGAATCATAACCCTGAAACACTACATCCTCATGACCTATTGGTTACAAATCAATGAAGAAAATATATCTTATTATTGGTGTCGTTTTTTTGTTGTTTTTTTTTTTTTTTTTTTTTTTTTTTTTCAAATTAATTCCAAACAAAACATTTTCCCAAAATCTTGGTCAGTGTTCAATGTATAAATTGGAAAAATCCTTTTAACAATGGCAGTACCTGTATGGTTATCTTGAGTAAATTATATTTAGTGTCGGGTTTATCCATAGCCTACATATTTAAAAACAGTTAATTATTTGCATTGCCAGATAATTCAAGCCACTGTGTCTTTTCTTCAGTCCAGTTAAAGATAAAAACATCTTATGTTGGAAGTTAAGGTACATGAAGATAGAAATAAATTAATTTGAGCTGGCTATTCTTTAAACAAGTGTTATTGAAATCCGAAGGGGTTTATAATAATGTTCCAAAAGTATTAATTAACCAGGTAAATAAAATAGACTAGGCTATATATAAAACTTTATCATTTTTACAAAAGAACGTGTTGTAGGCTAATTCACTTCACCAAAGTGGGCTGAATGTAGATTGATTCTGAAATGTGTAATATACTTAAAATAAAATGATATGTATTCATTCAAACCAAAATTTCATCAGAGACACCTTTAACATTTCTCACATTATCACGTTTTATTTGCTAGAGTTTAGAAAAAGGCAACCCGGAGTAAAACTGTCAGAACAAATGAATCTCGATCATGTCAGATAACTTCGACAGAAAGGTTCTGGATGGATTACACTCAACCAAAAACTGAGACCACTGTTAATATGGCAATTGTAGATACGCTTAAAAAAACACAACTATCAATACTTTGTTGGGCCACACTTAGGCCTCCTCGGTGACAGCCTGCAGTCTCCTGGGTTCATGCACACCTGAACTTTTCCCCAGACTGGGTTAGATCATGATGAGAGTTCAGTGATGAGAGTTCACGTGTAGGAACCGCGTCTCCTCGTGTGCGCGCGCGCGCGCTCTGTAGTCGGAACGCGCGCTCGTTATTCGCTGCTCAGCTGCGCGCCAGTGAGAAATCACTCTCCATCTCTCTATCTGCTTTCATCGGGATGGGATCGATTTTCTCGAGGTGACTTTAGAGATGAGCAGTGCCCAGATGAAGATGTTTGTGCTGCTGTGCGTTCAGACCGCGGCGAGCTCTCCAATCTCCACAGCTGATCAGGCTCAGGTAAGATCTGCTGCCCACCAGGTACCTTGTTCGTATCTTATCTCAAAATAATTAATAGTTGATACGCTTAAATATGGACTATGGTTATTTCATTTTTTAAATAAACAGAAATAAAACTTATATACACTGTAAAAATAAATAAAGTTGAGCTGACTTGAAAAATATGGCAACTGATTACATTCAACTTTTTAAGTTATCTCAACCAGTTAAAATCAACTGAGCGTGCTTTTTTAGTTGTCTTGACATGAAGTTTTAAGTTCAAAAGATTTCCTGGTACTCGATGGATGAACAAAAGTATTTGAGCCAACTTGAAAAAATAAGGCAACATATTTAAGTTAGCTGAACTAATTCGCTTTTTTCAAAGTAGTTTGACCTTACTTAGATTCTCAAGTGTTTGTCCAAAACTCGTCCAAATGTTGTCCCAACTATCCAATTTGAGTTATCTGAACAAACAAATTTCCTTTCAACAATGTTGTGCCAGTTCCCAGAATGCATTGGTAACTATTATATAAAAATGATTATTGCTTTGCATTTACGCCGCTGATGATGTTGTTGCCACTGTTATTTTATTGATTATTATTATTATTTATGTTGATCATAACAATGTTTGAGATTTGTGTGCTGAGGTGTTGAGCTGCATGTGCTTCTGCAGTTTTTGTAATGGGTAAACCGCGTGCCTTTAGTTTAAATGTCGTGTTGTTAACTTTAAACATGGAGATGAAAAAACAAGGATTGTGGCTGTTTGCATTGTTTAGTTGCCTTGAAAAGAAGTTTCAAGTTCAAAAGGCTCACAAGAAAGGTTTTTAAGTTGACTTTAACCTGAGCGAATTAGTTGAGCTAACTAAAAAAGTTGAGTGTGATAAAAGCCTTATTTTTTAAGTTGACTGAACTTTCTTTTCTTTTTTTAGTTGTCTTGGCAAGAAGTTTTAAGTTCAAAAGATTACCTGGCATTCATTAGATGAACAAAAGTATTTAAGTTGATTTTAACTGAAGTGAATTAATTGAGTTAAATTAAAAAGTTGAATGGGGTGAGTTGGCATATATTTTTTTTTTAAGTTAACTCAAGTAAATGAAATCCAAAGTCATGTTTTTAGTTATTCAAAAGCATATGAGCATGTTAGAGACATGTGTTGTCCTGCTTTCAGCTGTGGAAAAAGATCCTGCTTTGAGGTCAGAATAATTGGCACAGCCCAAGGGAGTATTTTCATTGTGAGTTCACTGTAATTACATTCCCCCGCATGTTCAACCGCACGCGTTCAAATTAAAAGACATTAAATGATACCTAGCTGAAAAGATTTGCGACATCAAGAAAGAAAATTTAAATATGAAAATAATAATATCATACTTTTTAGTTTGCAAGTTTTCTGTCCTCGATATACACTGGCAGGCTTGTTAAAAGTACGAACAATGATTCTGTGTTTTGGAGAAAAGCTCAACTGTTTCGCAATAAAGCTATTTCCACTACGTTGATCATGTGTTGCCTTCACTGCAGATCTGCCAACAAATTCCAGCCGCTTCAGTCTTATCCTACCTGTGACCTCCGGGTGGTTCAGAAGTGCACTACACACACCTACACTAAAAGCAAATATGCAGTTTGCATGCCAATACCTGACTGAGACATTTCCCCTCATACACACATTTGAAAACTGAGGTTTTTGGTTTTTAGGCTTTGGTTTCTGTTCTAACCCTTGTTTGGTATGAAATGCATGGTATGATACACTTTTTTAAGTATCTGTGCTTATGTACTTTTTTTTTTTTTTTCTGGAAACTTTTTACTTGAACTTGGTTTTACTTTACTTTTGTACTTTTTATCCCACTATTTCTGTCAAGGTCCTTGAGTAGAAAGTAGTAACGTCAGTCAGGGGATGATCTCTAAAACATGATCGTGTTTTGCAGGTGACAGACAGCCTATCAGTAATCACTTTAGGGTCACGTGACGTGAAGTTCAGCGATTTCCCGTCATTTTCTTTGAACACTAATCAACTGATGACAACATGGACGAAGACAGATCCTCTTGGCAGTGTGCACATCCATGGCAAACAGGTCTTTCTGTTGTGCTGTTGTTAAAGCAGTGTTGCTGTCGAGACTACTCGGTTGAAATGTGCATGAATGGACACACATTTTTGTTGGGGTGATAGGAGTGTTCAATAAAAAAATGAAGATGATTATGGTTCAGTTCAACTTATTTCTGTAAGTTTTTTAAGTACTTAGGTAAAAATCAGTCCTTAGAAACTTTTTCTTGTAATGGTAATATTTGACCAGTAGTATCTGTACTTTCACTCAAGTAGGAAGTTGTGAACTCAAATGATTTCGAGGCCGCTTCTTTTATCCCTGTCTGGATGAACATTCAGTATTCTCGTATAGGGGATTCTCAATAAAGTGAAGGGCATCTTCTAAAGCATCAGAGGCACGGAGGCCTACATCTTCCCCAAGATCGTCCTTTTTCATGCAACAAATGCTTCTGTGGGTAATGGCTACTGTTGTGTCTGCTACTATGGTGCTTCTTCATTCCAAAATAGGCTTTGTTTACAGTCCCAACAATTTTCCATAAGTGCTGTCCCGATATATCTGGTTTTAGTGATCTCTGAGGTGACTTCGAGCTGCTGTCACAGGGCTGATGGGAGTGATAATGACGTATGACACTTGATGTGTGTCTGCAGGGTTTTCTGGAGCGATACGGATACCTGCAAAAGGAGAAGGAAACTCATCATAATGCTGAAGTCGAGGCTGCCATCAGGTAATCTGATGATCTTCTAGTTGAGCTACTTTTGTTATTGTCCGACAGCTAAATCTGACATGTTTTTGTTAACTAGCAAACTTGGTCATTCACCAAAACTGTACAGGACTGTGGGTGTCAGTTCATCGTCTTAACTTGGAATAAAATCATACCAGCTATCAGAATCTTCATAACTGCAGTGTAATGACGGTCCAGAGAACTCGGGTCACTGATCTAGTGAAGTGCGGCTGTTTATTGGCGTGGTCTCTTGTCTGTCAGAGAGTTTCAGTGGTTATCTCAGCTGTCTGTCACTGGACTGCTGGACAGAGCCACGCTGGAGAAGATGTCATCAGCTCGCTGCGGGGTTAAAGATGTCGGGAGCCATAGTTCCTGGAGCCGAAGGGTCAACAGGATCTTCACAGGCAGACATGGGCGGCACGAGCAGCATCTTCGTAAGAAGCGTTACACTCACAAAGGTAAAGACTACAGGGCTATTGAATGCTTGTATCTGATGAATGTTCTAAGGTGTGAAATTATTTTCATGAAAACGCAAGGCTAAAGTAGTTCCAGACATTACATGTCTATATCACTTCACCAAATGATTTCAGTTATTTCAAAGGACTTTACAGCCTAAAACAGTAAAAAAAATTGCCACAAAATTATGTTTTTCCTTTTCTCTCACTCAAACACACACACATAGGAATATGACTCAATACAGACACAAACTTGCAAGGAAACGTGTTGTCAGCGCTGCTCTGAAGATTTTATCAGTAAAATAGTTCAGCAGTTTAAAAGCTACAAGACATTTCTCACTAGCGATGTAATAACGGCTCTGTTCTTGAAGCAGATAAACTTACAGTTTCGTTATTAGTAGAAACGCTGCTGCCGAACACTGTTGAGAGACAAACAGATTCAGGTAATTCACACACGCTTAATATCTCTCTCTCTCTCTCTCTCTCTCTCTCTCTCTCTCTCTCTCTCTCTCTCTCTCTCTCTCTCTCTCTCTCTCTCTCTCTCTCTCTCTCGAGTTTTGATGATCGTTCTGAATCTCCAGGCGTAATCTTTGACAAAAACTTTATTTTCTTAGCTTTATGCCCAAAATGTTTATTTTTTATGAATTCGCCAGCCCGTTTTTGAGAGACATATCTCGAATGTTTGAAGACGCTCTCTAAGTGTTGGGCAAACCTCTGAAATCCTATTCTGTTCCACACATTGTGTGAATCTTTAACAAAGGACAGCGATAAAGACTGGGAACAAGAACGGTATCAGTGCACATTACTCTTAACGTATTGAACAGAACAGTGATGTAAACCGAATGAATGCATGCAGGTCTTGTTTTTTTTATTGTTTGTTTTTTACAAAAATAAATTGTATTGATGATAAGGGTCGTTTTGTTTCGGCGGATGTTGATTTGATCACATTTTCTGTCAAACGGTCCTTTGGAAAAATGGATTTAAATGGAGTTGTAAGGTAATTCTGTGCCTGCTGGGTGGTGTGTAATTCTGAGCCAAAAAATAATGGGTAAATACAGTGGTAGTCATAATTACTATCCATATCGAGTGTGTACATGTCTAGCAGGTTAGATCATCCACTTGTGGCCCACCACACAAACTCAAACAGACAAATTTACACAGTTTGCCAAGAACTGAAGTTTATAAAACTATTATCAAAATAGATTACACTGACAGTGTACTCATTACCTGTTTTCAGTCGGGTCTTTGGCAGCAAGTTATGCGGAAGACATTTATCATTTACTGAGTGGATTAAAACGAACATACGCATATGTCCAGATCTTTTCTTTCAAATAAATATGGCATCTCAGATCGGTGTAGGATATAGTAGGACAGACAGGCAGAAAGAAAGGCAGTCATTCTAACAGAGGCTGCATAGGTGATATTTTTTGAGCTGTACTGAAATAAAAGCTTACTGTTTGTACAGTATGTGTGAATTGGACCTGTATATTCAGACCTGTCAGTTTGAAAATGTGCTAATGCAACAGGAATGCAGCACCATTGGTTTAAGTTTGTGTATGTTCATGTAAGTTTGTGTATGTTCTCACCACAAAAACAAATCTGTAGTGACTGTCTCATGATGACAATATATGGACAGTAGTATAGCAAAGGTCAGTTAAATCCAAAATTGTCTGTCCGTCACAACACACAGCATTTTTTTCGTGGATTTCATGTTTCTTGTTTTTGGACAATTTTGCGCACATTTGTTCTATCTTACTAATGTAAAGGACAGTTACCACACATCAAGCTATTTCGTAGGCAAAAAAAAAAACAACCACTGAGCGGTTTGCTTTAATGGTAATATTTGTTTGGTTATACTGTGCACTAAAATATGAATTAGCAATTATGGCATAATAGAGAAAATCCTAGCATGTTATACCTCAGACAACAGTTTGTGTTTTGGAAGTCTGTAATTATGTGTCTAATTCACAAAACCTCTGTCACATGTTAAGCTAGGTATTTACTAAGTGTAGCTCTTGTCAGTATAAGAAGATTTGGGGAGAGAATTTTGATGTTTCTTAAGTAAAAGTGCACTGAATACTTTTTTACCACTAGATTTCTCTGTAATCTGAGTTAGAACTCTGCTTGGCCATGGCCAGGCTATGGGGAAACAGAGAGAGTGATGAGGATTAAAGGGTTAGTTCACCCAAAAATGAAAATTAAGTCATTAATTACTCACCCCCTGTTCCAACCCCGTAAGACCTTCGCTCAATTATAAGTTTATCAAGCGACGAGACTACTTTTTGTGTGAAAAAAACATAAATAACGACTTTATTAGACTATTCCATTACTTCCTTATGGGCGCATGCGCGAGAACTGAGACGAGGACGTTCTCATTCGTCTACTTTTTGTTACCGGCTGCTCCGCTTAGGAGTATTACCGCCACCTACCGTATAAAATGATGATCCATAAGGCGCTCCGGATTATAAGGAACACTGTCGTTTTTTGAGAAGATTAAAGGCTTTTAAGTGCACCTTGTAGTGCGGAAAATACGCTAATTGAAAAGTGTATGTACAGCGCGCATCTTCCTCTGCTTGTAAACAGAAAGTTTTGCGCTTCCAGCTATCAGCACATCATCTTATACGGTAGGTGGCGGTAATACTCCTAAGCGGTGAGCAGCCGGTAACAAGAAGTAGTCGAAGGAGAACGTCCTCGTCTCAGTTCTCGCGCATGCGCCCATAAGGAAGTAATGGAATAGTGGAATAAAGTCGTTATTTATGTTTTTTTCGCACAAAAAGTAGTCTCGTCGCTTGATAAACTTATAATTGAGCCGCTGTAGGCACATGGAACATTTAAACCTTTTCTTTAATGACTTTATGGGCCGTCAAGAGCCAGTCCCTTAGGCAGTCTATATAGGACTGATCCAGCTCTCAGATTCAATCAAAAATATCTTTATTTGTGTTCCAAAGATGAACGAAGGTCTTACGGGGTTGGGACAGCATGGGGGTGAGTAATTAATGACTTAATTTTCATTTTTGGGTGAACTAACCCTTTAAGGAGTGAGACATGGAAGGCAGGATTAATTCTGTAATGTGCTGGAAGTTGGAGGAGGTACATGTTGATCTGCCTAATGATGGTGAAGGGACCAATATATCTGGGACTGAGGCTTACGGTCACACTTGGGAGAAGAACACTTTCCATACCCTTGATATAAACTGCGGTCCACAGTCTGAGACAATGTCTTCTGGGATTCTACAGTATCTGAAGACGTGATTGAAGAGGAGTTCTGCTGTTTCCATTGTTGTGGGAAGTCCTTTGATGGGGACAAGATGACATGAAAATCCTCGCCACTTGCCATCTGACAAACTTCTTCCGCTGCCTGTTCCCTACCGACCATGGTCACACCTAGGAGTGGACTTCACGTGTGACCTCCCACCTTCTGACCATGGTCTGTTGGGAACAGGCAGTGGAAGAGGTTTGTCAGATGGTAAGTGGCGAGGACTCTTGGCCATGGCACAGTCTGCGCATCCTTGGACAAACCTTCTCACATCTCTAGCAATGTTAGGCATAGAGTATAAGAAATCGTATAGACTATCGGAAAAAAAGCTCCGCTGAGGTGTTCGAGTGCCGATTGGACGAAGGGAAGTGGATATTGTAATTTGACGGTGATTTTATTGAGAGTGCTGTAATCCATACAAGTCCACAAGCCTCCGTCCTTCTTGTCCACGAAGAAGAAACTTAAAGCAGCAGGGGACGTAGAAGGGCGGATGTAGCCTTGTTGGAAGGCCTCTTCTATATACCCCTCCATGGCCTTCATCTATCACCACTGGGGCACTGGCTCACCCAGAATCAGGTTGATTGTGCAGTCCCATGGCCGGTGTGGAGGCAGCTGAGAGGCTCTCTGTGGGCAGAAAACATCACTGAAGGGTGCATAGCAGATTGGGATGTCGAGCGACTGCTTCTTGACAGGACTTTCGATAGAGTTGGAGTTCACCGGGAGCACCTTGACCGGTCCTGGAGCAGGGAAACACTTCCTGCCCCACTTCAGGACTTCGCCGGCCTTCCAGGAGATGATGGGATCATGCTGCACAAGCCACGGGCCCCCTATGATCACCTCATCGGTGAAATTCTCCAGAACCAGGGGATGAAGGGATTCTACATGGAGTCGACCAACCTGTAGCTTGATGGGACCAGCGCTATTTCGAACATGTTTACGGCATAGTGGTCGCTCAGCCACTGACTTGACCTGGAAGATAGTCTGAGTAGCGGTCGTCTGGAGGTTGAGCTGGTGGCAGAAGCTTCTGGAGAAGAAATTTCCGACTGACTCAGAATCGAGGAGGGCATGAACTGGGAGAGTAGATTTGGAGCAGTAAGGGCTACAGTGGTAAGCCCGGTTTATGAGACGGAATCAGACTCAAGAGAAGGAGATGGAAGTTAACAAGGAGTTTATTTAGACAACAACAGAGCGGGAGAACTGTGGTAAGTGCAGTGAGGATTTGGCGGTAAATAGATGCTGGCAGTGATATCATGAGTAGATGATGCAGAGGGTGGCTGGAACTCAGAACAACAGGAGACTTGAAAACACAGAGAAAGGACGAGACACTGGAGGAACATCCCGGAGAAGAATGGAGACAAGATGTAGGAGTGGAGGCTGGAGAAGGATCGCTGGAGATGTCAGGTAGATCGTTTACTAAGGCAAGGTAAGTAGTCCTTATCATACGAGCGAGACCGGACAATGAACTGTGGCGAAGAGTGTGATTGAATGGTGTCAGTGATGAGGGTGGGGATGAGATGCAGGTATGTGTGATTAGAACTCTGGTGAGGGAGTGCGTTGTGATTGGCTGGTGAGAGAGCCTGGCAGATCTGGAACACCTACTCCATGTCCAACACATTTAGAAGGGTTCAAGCACCAATGGATATTGTGTTTGTACTGATTTTATTCTTCTTCTTTTTCTTCTCTTTTTTTCTGTGTATGGACGTCAGAGAAAGTAAATTGTAGAGAACCCAAACTTGGCAGGATTAAACGTGCGGATCTACTCGGACGCACAGACATCTGGTGCATGGAATCGAATCCTGAGCTCTAAAAACAAAATAATGTTTGGGTCAAGCCCTTTAAAATGTATATCTTTAATTTAATTTACATCTATAAATTTGTTCTGCAAATTTTGCATTTTCTCTGCCATTTTGTCATTCATGTAAAATGCTAAATTAAGTATTCATTTAGTATACAGTAGTGTATATAGAAGATGTTGGTTTGATACATTGGTTTGATACTTGTTCATACTTCCACAGGAGAGAAATGGCACAAACATCAGCTCACCTATGGCATCATGAACTGTCCGCGGAGTCTGTCTCCCAGTCAGGTGCGTGTGGCGGTGAACGCAGCGTTCCAGCTCTGGAGTAACGTGTCCGGGCTGCTCTTCCAGGAGCTCCAGCAGGGTCCCACCGACATCACGCTCGCTTTCTTTGAAGGGGAACATAATGATGGGACAGGAAATGCATTTGATGGGCCAGGTGAAGTTTTCTTTCTTTCTTTCTTTCTTTCTTTCTTAAATTAAATGGTTACCATATTCTGTTCCCACCCAGATAGCAAACTGACATTGAATCAACGTGGAAATATGACATCGAAACAATGTTGATCTGACATTGTTTTGCTCATCGAATTAACGTTGAACCAACGTCAGACGCGTCATTCTTTCAAAACTAACGGAAAATCAACTTGAAATCAACGCGTTGTTTCAACGTTATGAAAGCAAACCAATTTTCGATTTTCATTTAGCTTTTCATTTAGAATGCCGCGTCTGACGTTGGTTCAATGTTAATTCGATGAGCAAAATCAACGTTGTTTCAATGTCATGAGAGACGTCGTTTCCACGTTGATTCAATGTCAGTTTGCTGTCTGGGCAATGTCTGTTCAGCATTTGTGCTATGCTGTGTATTAGCATATTATACTTAGAAGATTGGGAAAAGTATTTTTAAAAAAAGGTGTTCAAACTGGGAGTTTAATGTTTAAAATTCCCAGCTGTCCATGTTTTATCTGTTATACGGTAGGGGGCGCTATGACACATCTTCTGCAAGAGTAGAGAATCTCCAGATCAAAACACTGATGAAAAAGCAGAAACAAGCGATAGAAGCATTGCTTACACACATGTAAAATAACAAACTCATCCAACACGAAACATCATAGAAATTGCCTAAAGTTACCAAATGAAATGTCAACTTAGTGTTGATGGACATGCTCTACTCCATATATGTTTAATCATTGTTCAGAAATCCATCAGGAAGAAGTATTTGAACAAAAACGTTTTGTTATAAAAGCAAAGTTATACAAAGACTTTAGATACACAAAGTGCACTCTACTATGAATGGGAGAAAGCAACACACAATAGGACTGAATAAAGCCCACCTTTGAAATTAAAGAGCCAATTGCCAATTAGTAAAGTCATCGCATCAGTGCAGCTGTCGCCAGAAGCTCCGGTTGCTTACGACTGCACATGCGCATTGGCTGCTCCAGCCTGGAATGAAATGACATGCCCAGGGACTTTGGTTTGGTCTTTCAACCAGAATTATTTCTTTATTTTTTTAGGTGGCACTCTGGCTCATGCATTTTTCCCATTCCGTGGTGAAGCTCATTTTGATATGTCTGAACGATGGACCCTGATTGGTCTTAAAGGACACAACCTGTTCCTTGTGTCGGCCCATGAAATTGGCCACACTCTGGGTTTGGTTCATTCACCAGTTCGCCATGCGCTCATGTCCCCGTACTATAAGAAGATGGGCTCTGCTCCACTGCTCAGCTGGGATGACATCGCTGCTATACAACAACTCTATGGTAAACAAGCTGCTCTTTTCTTGTTAGAAAGCAGTGCAAGTGTTTATGGCTCTGGTCTTTAGTAACAATGACTTTACAGAGATAGCAAAGCTGTCTATTGTGAGGAAGTTTAAAAATCTATCAGGGTTTTAGATTTTTTTTTTTTTAGAAAATATGTGCATCTTAAATGGTGTAAAATACCTGTCTTGCTCTGAGAAGTTAATAGTGCTTTAGACAATACAGCTTGTTTCAAAGCCACTCCATAAGCAGGAAAATCGATGATTAAACCATCAAATATGAGATAAAATAATTTCCTGCTGTAAAAAGACAATAGTGAAATTATTCAGTCTCATTGTTGATTCAGTTCATTTCAAAAATTGAGCAGTCAAATCAATAATATTACTGAATAATACGTGTATTTTAAACTGCAACTAAGCAAGTCAAAGGCAATGCAACCCATGCGTTCTACCCATGAAACCCAAACTCAATCAATAATGGCCAACAGTATGAACAGCAACGAGTATAAATGATCTTAGAAAGTCTTAATTACATTTTTTTTTTTTTTTTTTTTGGCTACAGAAGAAATTGGCTACATTCAATATTTGCATTTGAAAAATACCTTTACAGAAAAAAGACACATTCAGTTCTTAACACATCTCGTCTCTACAACATACAGTATATATATATATATATATATATATATATATATGAAGAGTTCAGATGCAAAAGCCTCTAAATGCCATTTGAAATTTTCTTCTTTAATGATGATTTTTATCAAGCTTGTATATTTAAGTTCAGTAATTTCACTTAAATAACAATTAATAGGTAATTATCATTGCCATTTAAGTGAAATAACTGAAATTAAATATACAAGCTTGATAAAAATGATCATTCTAGAAGAAAATTTCAAATGGCACTTAGAGGCTTTTGCATCTGAACTCTTCATATATATATATATTTCTATATAAAAAATTTTAGGTGAACGGATCTCAAAAACAATTTATATGTTGCATGGATTCTATTTTAGGATTATATTCTAGGATTGTTTGTATTACAACATTATTTTCATGACAATTAACAAGTAAAATGTCATACTTTTAATTGTTAAGGGAAGAAACAACAATATTATTAAAATTGTTATATATACATCATGATAGTGTTGTAGTACTGAACTTTATTTGTTAATTTTGAGTAAAAAAATATTGTTGTGTGATATTGATTACTGAAGATAATTACAGCAACGAGAAACGGAGTGTCCTTTTTTCTGTTGATTTTGGGAGCCTTCTTGAGATTTACCCAAAAACACATTTGCAAATGTACCAGTTCCTTATATCATGAAACACTGATATTTTCACACAAGCAGTCTTTACCTAGCGAGACAATTTATGCAGCTAATTTTGCTAGGCTGTAGTGAAACCGACAGCTATTTACACTGAAAGATAGTAAGACAAACAACTATAGTTTCGTGCCGGTGAAACTGTCAGCTGTTTCTCAAGCATGTGTCGGGCAGGTTTACACACGCCACAGTGCTTTCAGGAGAAAACCTTCATCCATCCATCTTCAGTGCGTGAGAAGGGTCTCATACCAACACCACCCTCCCTCAGCGTTCTGATCATAACTGAAGAATCCATTCCAAGAGTTTGCCAGGATCCTTCTTTAAGCCTTCCAGGAAAAAATCAGATGCCAAATTTTATGTACACACACACACACAGGTGCCAAACACTACACTATATTTAATATATTCCTCAGTATATCATTCATCTTAAAGCGGCAGGAGGCCAACATAGAGGCCTCATCACAAAACTATTTTTTTAAGATATTATCTGCTGCCTAAAAAAATGTATGTGTGGGTGGGAAGTATTCTAGGATTGGATACCTCCACCACAATCAGATATTTTTGGCATAGATATCAGATTTTTTTATTGTATTCCAGACCAAGCTGAATTTCGTACATTCAATTTAAAGGGTTAGTTCACCCAAAAAATGAAAATTAAGTCATTAATTAAGCCTCACCCCATGCTGTTCCAACCCCGTAAGACCATCGTTCATCTTCGGGACACAAATAAAGATATTTTTGATTGAATCTGAGAGCTGGATCAGTCCTATATAGAACTGTCTAAGGGACTGGCTCTTGACGGCCCATAAAGTCATTAAAAAAAAGGTTTAAATATTCCATGTGCCTACAGCGGCTCAATTATAAGTTTATCAAGCGACGAGACTACTTTTTGTGCGAAAAAAAACATAAATAACGACTTATTCCACTATTCCATTACTTCCTTATGGGCGCATGCGCGAGAACTGAGACGAGGACGTTCTCATTCGTCTACTTCTTGTTACCGGCTGCTCACACCGCTTAGGAGTTTTACCGCCCCCTACCGTATAAGATGATGTGCTGATAGCTGGAAGCGCAAAACTTTCTGTTTACAAGCAGAGGAAGATTGCGCCGCACTGTGCACTTAAAAGCCTTAATCTTCTCAAAAAACGACAGTGGTTCCTTATAATCCGGAGCGCCTTATATATGGATCATCATTTTATACGGTAGGTGGCGGTAAATACTCCTAAGCGTGGGCAGCCGGTAAACAAAAGTAGACGAATGAGAACGTCCTCGTCTCAGTTCTCCGCGCATGCGCCCATAAGGAAGTAATGGAATAGTGGAATAAAGT